GGCTAATCTAATATGTCTAATTGCTGCCCTCAGTCATTAAGTGAAATTTACTGGAATTGAGATCAACATTTCTCTGCCATTTCACAGACTCCTGGGATGGGTCAAGATCTTTAGTATCCTCTAATACAGTGTTTTCCCTCCCTCCCTCCCTCCCTCCCTCCCTCCCTCCCTCCCTCCCTCCCTCCCTCCCTCCCTCCCTCCCTCCCTCCTTCCCTCCCTCCCTTCTTTCCTTCCTTCCTTTTTGCATAAAGTGATTGATAGTAAGAAACATTTTACATAACAGCCCTACACAAACACACAGACACACACAACAGAAACAAAGGTTTCATAAGGCAATAGTTACTTGTACAGATGCAATAAGTCCTATTTTAAATCCAAAACTATTTCATTCTTTCAAAGTCTACTCATCCAACCTGCTTATACTACACTGATTTTGCAACTCACTAATGCATCTGACTTGCAGTTTCAAAAACCCTGCTCTGTTGAGAAAAACTGCTTAAACTGACAATGAGCTTGCATGTCAAAGTGTTTGTAAAAGGAGGCAGGGCCAAGCTGGATCTTTTAAGTCTCATAATAATGATTTGTTTACTTGCACGATGTGTGTTTCCTAGGCCACATCAGCCTGAGGGGAAAACTGGGATTGGAATCACAGCACAGACTGTTCCTCTTTCTCTTGCTCTCCCTCTCTCTCACTGCTTTCACTGTCTCTACCAGAATCCCCAACCCTTCCACAGAGACCCCTCCACAAAAACTCCTCCAGTCTCAGAGGACGCCTGGGGACCTTAGTACGTGTGCTCCCACACAGCACACTTTACCCCTCACTTTCCCTCTCTTCGGCTCCAGCTGTGTGCTGGGATCATTTGCCAGTTCCTCTGATGTCTGTGGGGCTGTCACTGCTGCTGGGCCACTAAGGCGGAGCTGCTTCCAGATCCAGTGCCTTCCGTGATGCGCGAGCCCAGGGCCTGGATAGGGACGCGTCTCCTGTGCCACAGCTCTGTGTATTCCTCCTGGTACCCAAATGTGATGCCCTGGTGCCCACCAAACTAGAGAAAACTCCCTTTGTTGCACAGATCCCAAAGTGGACCGAAGTGGATTTCTCTTACCCTCTCTAACTTATTCATGTTCAAGGGTAAGGGGTTGAACAAAATCTCCATCTGGTATTCACAACCGCCTTCTTTTTCTCCAACTCTGGACCTGTCCTGCACCAAGTTTGGATGTTGCTACTCTCACCCAAACTGGTGAGTTCTTTCTTTCCCAGAAGTCTCCTTGGTTCCCCCATTCGAATAGATTCTTGGCAAGGCTGCTGTCTGTCATCCTGCCCAGAAGTGCCTGCTGCCTAGAGCAAGCATAGATTTAGGCTAAACCCATTTCTATTTGAGAGCTTTGCTTCCCAGGTGTCAGGAGTCACATGCTTAGAATTCAAGTCTTGTTGCAATGATGATGACTACGACCAGGACAAATTGTTCTCATGTATCAGAACCCTTGCTATGCACTTTAGATACGTTACTAGTATTTCATTTTCTCAATAACTTATGTGACACATACTATCATTATCCTCATTTTACAAAGGAGAAACAGTGCCCTAGCAAGGTTAAGTAGCCAGCTCATGGTCACATGGCTGGCAGAGGGACGAGCCAGCCCTGGACTCCTCTACAGCTGGGACTGGGCGGTGAGCTGCCTCGGCCAAGGCCTTCCAGCCTTCCAGCCTTCCTGGGCCTCCTTCCAGCTCTGCTTCCATCCTTTCTAGGCCTCTCTCCCGAAAGCCCAGGTGGGGTGCCAAACCTCATCTAAAGGCCTTCAAGTGGGTGGAAGCTTCCCACTTCCCACTTCCCATATCCTCTCTGTGCCTTACCAGGGCTTCCAGAGGAGGATGTGTCAGGAAGGGAAGCTTCATCGGCAATAGATCCCTATCCCCAGGCCCCTCAAGACTTCAGTATTACAACTTACCCTCCCCTCTGCAGTCCCCTCCTCAGGCCCAATTCTGGAGCGTGGAAGTAGTTTCTCCTCCCTAGAAGACCACCATCATTCTGCACTACACAGTTAACATTCTGCCTGATCTCAGTGGGTGTTTTCATTGAATAGAGAATTCAAGTCTGGGCTTAAATGCCATAGAAAAAGAAAAAGTTACTGTTTTTTTCAGAATGCCCATTGTAATTTGTCCTTTGAGTCCTCCCCACTGTCCCCTCCACCCCCATCCCCCACCATGGTCCTTTTTCCACTTAAACTGACCAACTGAACTGCCAGATAAATACAGCTGCGAAGAGCATAGTTTGAAAGACCACTCACTCACCCCTGCTTTGACAGTGTTCACACAGCACAAAGCCAAGGGCTGATCAAGCAGTGAAACACAGGGAGGGAATTATCCTGTTTGACTACACCCATCAGTTTAACCAAGTCTCTGCCAGTGTCACCCCATGCGGAGTGGTGGCTCTGCCCACTGCCCATCTGTAGCATGTGGGGACTGGATTCAAGAATCCTGAGGTCCTGAAAGTTCTCGGGGTCTTTATTTTATAGTCACAAAACACATCATTTACAAGTCAGATAAATTAGGGGGTGGGTGATCATTTGAATAAAAATGATCTTCTATAAAATTTTCACCACCTAATTATTTTTTGGAGCAAGTTTCCACTGTGTACTTGAAGCAGAAAACACTGACTTGCAGCCAACTGCTAAGTGACACTTTCACTGTTTCAAGTGGGGCTTTCCCGTAGGTCATGGTTTCTAAGAACCCTGGGATAATTCCCTCCCTTCAGAGAGTCTTCGACAGTGGATGGTTAGTAGACCATTGCTCCTCTCAGACTGAGTTTTTTATTCTCTTCTGGAAAAACTGTATTTACAAACCCTCAAAAACCGACTTCATTATGATAATCTACTGGTCCTTTTTAAGCTCACTCCTCCTAAACCACTCCAGAAGTTTCCCTTTGTTCTCCAGGGTCACAGCCAGGTTGTGGCCCGGCCTTTGCATATGCTATTCGCTCCAACCCTGGAATGTTCTCCCCAGCCCTCTCTTTTATTACCACTTACCTCGGGATGCAGCTCACTTATTACTTCTTCAGGGAATTGTCAGATCCCTTTATTATAACTCTGAGGTGCGACCTGAAATTTCTTTGAATGAGCACGTCCAGACCAGAAGACCCTCTATCCTCTATTGCTGCTCGAGAGGGCATGCGGACTGCTCACCGCGTTCACCGCGTGCTCGACACTGCCTAGGCACTGGATTCGCAGCAGGGTCTCTACCTTCACGGAGCCTCCAGTTTTCTGGGTAAACAGATAATAGTCAACCATGAGAATGAACAGACTACCACTTGCCCTCCCCTCCTAGATTTCAATGAGTGATTGGAGTAAGCGTGGGGCATGCTATGGGAGGGGACAGGTAGACTGTCAATGCGTCAAGCTCCCCAGTAGGACAGATTTATGTCCTCATTACACATTTACTCAAACAATCCTTTGACTACTTTCAGTCTGAGAAGCTGAGAGAGAAAGGATCATGGATTGACATCCCCTGGGCCAGCTTGAAGGATGGCCACCTCCAGCACGGGACAGGAGTAAGAGTCTATTTTCCTCTTCTTTCTCCACCCCACGAGTCTCCTCAAATACCACCCTGTCCCAATGCCAGCACTTTATTTATTTCTTCTTTAAATGAATTTCCACTTCCAAAGGTGAATAATCTTTTCCATCAAATATGACAGTAGTCTAGCCTATCATTTTTTAAAATATTTTATTTATTTATCTTTAGAGGGGAAGGGAGGGAGAGAGGGAGAGAAATATCAATGTATGGTTTCCTCTCATGCGTCCCCTGCTGGTAACTGGCCCGCAACCCAGGCATGTGCCCTGATTGGGAATCGAACCTTGATCATTTGGTTCGAAGGCTCGAGCTCAATCCACTGAGCTACACCAGCCAGGGCTAGCCTAACATTTTTTTAAATTATTTTTTAATCCTCACCTGTGGACATTTTTTTCATTGTTTTTCGAGAGAGAAGGGGGGGAGAGAGAGAGAGAGAGAGAGAGAGAGAGAGAAATATTGATGTGAGAGAGAGAACACTATCGGCTGCCTCTCTCATGTGTCCCAACCGAGGATCAGACTGGCATCAGGGTATGTGCCCTTACTGAACATTGAACTCACAACCTTCTAGTCCACCGGACAACAAACACTCCAACCAGCTGAGCCACGTCAGCCGGGGCTAACCTACCACTTTGATTTTTTGTGCATAATATTTCTAGAACATCTATTGTATCATCCCAATTTGACACACAGGAATAGATGCAGAGACATCACCTAGTTTATGGCAGAACTGGGACTTCAAAGCAAGGTCTCCCGCTCTTGGTCCAGCATCTTCCCCACCCTATCTCAGCCTCCTGGGGCTAAGCCTGACCTTTTTCAAAGCTCTGAAAGCCAAAGTTGGCTGTCTCCTGCTGGCAGGGAGCTCCTTCCAGCTTTGGGTGCTACTGTTAAAGAAGAGAGAGTTCCAGAGGCGAGGGGGGTGGATTATGCAGGGAGCCAATCTATGTTTCTATTTTCCTCCCTCATGGGAATGGCTTGCACACCAAGAGGGGGGTGCAAGGGGGGGGACTATGAAAACCAATAATTCATGACAGTTGATAAATGTCAGAAAAGTATTTACTCACATTCACTCCCTGAAAGTCACCTTCTTCATGCGTTCTTTTTTGTCTTTCAACGATGCCATCAGTCAGGTGAACTCAGCAAGAAAAGACCAAGGTTTATGCCAAATGCTGCAGAGGGAGAGAGTTTCATTTAACTTCATTTTCCCAGCCAGGGCTGGCTCCCAAACCAGTTTTTCTGACTAGGTTGTTTGCCACATGAAAAGCAAATTCCCAGAGGTTTCTGAGATTGCCGAGATTGGATGCCAGATGACGGCTGCCACCCACCCGCCCACCCACTCACTAATAAGACATAATGCCGTCCTATTTTTGGTAACAATTAAAGGGCCTCCTGATGCAAGCAGAAAGCTGTTTATTTTGTTACATCACTTCACTTTGCCTTCGAAGGCTGGTCTGTGCTCAGTGTTTTCCTGGTGATGCAAGTCGGCTCTCTCCTCCAGCAGTTGGATCCCTCCCATCTCGCAGCACCTCACAGGTCTCTTCCCCGAGCAGTGCGTTGCTGGAGCGAGGAGCCTCTCACGAATCAGCTGCAGGTCCCTGTTTTGAAAAGCAGAGATACAGAGGCAAAAGAAAAGGGTGGACTCCTATGTGACCTGGTCTCAGAGCAAGACAATCACCAGCTGAATTCCAGAAGCCCTGTTCATGTTTGGGGAGATTTTTTCGACTGCATGGAATCAGAAAGAAGCCAAAGGATGGGAAATGCTTGCATCCCCCTGAAAAGAATTGCTTATTTCTTATGTCTCTTATCTGCGCTTTTGCTGACTGAGGGGAAGAAACCAGCGAAGCCAAAATGCCCTGCCGTGTGTACTTGTACCAAAGATAATGCTTTATGTGAGAATGCCAGAGCCATTCCACGCACCGTTCCTCCTGATGTTATCTCATTGTAAGGCCCGTAAGCATTTGCTATCTAATTTACGATTTAAAAATTCCAGCCGGTGTATTTGGGGCTTTGTATTTTCTGGTAGAAGGGCTTGGAGAGAGATTCCTCTTGCACACTTGGCCATTTGACAGTGCTAACATTTTGCTGCATTTAGTAATTTTGATTTTTATTAGCTGCTACGGAACATGTTTAGCTGCCCCCCACCCCTGAACATTATTATGAGAAACCTGTAGCAGATGCATTTCTCCTACTTCATCTGGGAAGGAACAGTATGGTACTTCATAAAATAGTGTCAAAATAGTGACTGTTTTGCTAAACTGGATTAACATAAGGTTTGTTCTGTGTGTGTGTGTGTGTCTCTCTGTGTGTCTGTGTGTTTGTTTTCTTTCAGATCCTTTGTGAGATCTGGTTTTACTGAAATCTCAGAAGGGAGTTTTTTATTCACACCATCGCTGCAGCTCTTGTGAGAAATATTTATATCATGACTATTTTTAATATAGCATATATTTGGATAAGCCCTCTAGTAAAACAATCTTAACATTAATTTTGTCAAATGTGATTGTATTTCTGGGAAGAAAAAGAATATCAGTAAAGTGAGAGATACATGGTGTTTTTGGCAACTTGACCCCAAAGGTACAGGTTGATTCTTGCAGTGGTAAATTTGCTAACCTATAGTGCTGTCTACGTTCATGGCTATTTATGAAGTTGTCGGAACGTTGCAACAAGGATTCCAATTCCATTCCACTATTTTACTTTCATTTTTGACTTGGGAACTTTGGTTATTTTGCCCTGGAGTTTTTGAATTAGTCAGTACAGAACCCAGCATAACATATGTGCTCAAGATGTTGTCTCCGGGGATCTGGGGCAGGCTGCTACTCTGTATGATCTACCATGTGGGGGGAAAACAGTCTTGGTTCTTTCTAGGTAATTCCTTAAAAGATTGATTCCAAAGAGATTGTTGTCTAATCTTAACTAATTTATAACTAGTCCCCTTACAAGGAGGAAAAGAAAATATTAATATAGGACAATGCCAAGGACTAGTCTTTGCTGCGTGTTTTCAGTTAGCCACGAGGGAACTACATGTTCAGTCTATGTCTCATAATAGTAAAAAAAAATAATATTTGACTCAGAGCTCCCCACAGGCATCATGTCACATGTATAATTTTTTTCTGACGTGTAATGTTGGGTTATTGGAGTGCTGGCTCTCAGTGTAGGACCATGTGGAAGGCAAGCACCCTGTGCCCAGGTGTCCTGTGCCCAGGTATCAGGCAAGATTGGGGTGGTAGTTAACATCCTCCCAGAAGGGAATTAGCCAAGTTGATCAACCGAGTTTTGGTTTTTATCTGCATAATTCAGGATCCAGGGTTTTTTTGTCTGGTTGGTTGGTTTTTCGGGGGGGGGGGGGAACAATTGTTTGTTTTTGTTTTCTTGCCTTAATTGGCCATTTTGGCAGTGTGAGGTTATATATACAGAGGCAAACAACATGGGTTTGAAATTAAAAAGACCTGTGTGTAAATTTCACCCCACCACCCACTAGAAACTAGACTTGTAATCTTGTGCAAATGATTAAACCTCTCTGATCCTCAGTCTCCTCATCTGTAAAATGGAGGTGATGACACAGTGAAGGATTTTTATCAGAGATGAATAAGATTTTAGTAGATAAAATGTTTGGCTTAGGGTCAAATGGTTATACATTTATAAATGGTAGGTTTAAAATTTTTAACATAAAGCTAGCTAAAAAAAAATCCACTTAATCTATTGTTTTATCTATGTGAAATCCCAAAACTGGTTTGACGATTTTATTAAATCACAAACCTGATCAGGTGTTTTGACATTATGTAACAGTGTTGGCTAATGTCTTTCTACCAGCTAGTGTCTTTGAGTGATTAACGATTGAGAAGAATATTCCTAAGGGACTTATGTGTTTGACTGATGGCTATTGGCATGATCAGGGGAAGTATTAGCACATCAAACAAATTCAGAATACACAGTTGCTAGCATGTGAAGTGTCAGTCTCCAATGCTGGTATTCTCCCATATAATAAGATTTGGTTGTACCTCATAAAGTGATCAATTGTGCTTATGTTGTTTATTTGTTAAGGAAATAAATGGCTCATTTAGGAAGCATCCTTTTCTTAAGCTAAGTCACCTCTTTCCCCCAGGATAAATAGATCAGTTCTTAAACTTCAAGAGGTCTCAGTGGACACATACTACTCATATTCTGACACTAGATGGCCTTAACTCTGACACCGAAAGCCCGAATCGATGGGCCTGATCGGTGAGCACATCTCCACTTTGCTTCTGCTGGGTGGACCCGGCCTCGGCAAGCACAAATGCTGGACGGTGTTATAGAAATAGTTCCCGGCTGCTGCAGGGTAATGTGATTACACGTATTTAGAATCACAGAGGGAAGCCAAGGAACTGGTTTTTAAATAGCCCACACAGAGTGTGTGCCATGCCCCTGTGTCCCATACTCTGAGTTCCTATGGAACATTCCAGCCCTTATTTCTAAAAGCAGTTCGGATTTCAGAAATAACAAAAGGGAGAGTAATTCTTGCTCTGTATGTCCTGACTTAACTCATTGGCTAACTTCAGCATGGCAGATTTATGGCAGGGCTGATCTTATGCAAAATTGTCAGGGGACAAATATCATCTCTAATTTCTAGGACCCTGTTTCCTAAAGATTTTGCTTCCCATTCTCCCTGCACAATGTTCTCTGCTTCCTCCCATCCTCGGGAAGCTAAATAGCTTGTTTTCACTGAGGAAACAAATGCTAAGCTTCTAAATATGAACTGTACTGTAATCATAACAATGGTGGAAATGGATAGTTCACAGACAAGAAGAGTTATTCTGTGGCACAGAGCCATCGAGGCCTCTGAAAACCCCACATCAGCCGCCAATCCCCATTAGAACAAAGACCAAGGGGCCTTAATCTGCCTTTGCATGATTTTTGCTATCAGCTCAGGCCTGGGTCACACCAGGCAGCGCTTGGGATTTGCAATGAATTCTAATGGCATTTGACAGGACTGCCCTGTCATGTCCTGCGAAGTGATAAACTTCAGAAGCAATTCTACTTGACTGGCATACAAAGGCATTTGGTTTCTTGCCTGTTGTTGATCAGGATAAAGAAATGTCCTATTCCCTATCTTCCACCCTAATAACCTGGTAATTTCATTATGGCCCCAGATGCTTTTTCAGAACTTCTGTAGACACGTGATGAGAAGTACTTTTTGAAATGTCGGCCTGGGGTCCTGAAGGAAATAGACACGGTTTCTCCCTAAGTTACACACAGTGTCTGGGGAAGGCCCTGGCTGGCAGTGTGTGTTGGAGAACAAGAAAAAACATAAGCCCCCACGTGGTAGCGATAAGACACAAAGAATAAAATTATCCAGTAAAAACTCATTAAGTTAATTTTATAAAACATATTTTTAAAATATCTAACTTATTGTTTTAAATGACAGCAACAAAACCTTTCCCAAGAAAATGCAAGTTCATCGATGTTTTCCACAGAACCAGTGGTGAAACATAACCAATGAGAACAATTATTCATTCTCATTTGCTTTTCGTGAGAGGGAATGATGCTGGTAGTGAATGTAATTTACAGAAATAAATGTGTTTTCACACATTACAGCCCTGTTCTTCTCAACTACAGAAGTTCCCAATGATATAGACTCATTACAGAAGTAAAATTCAAATTTAAGAGTATAAAATGTGGCTACATTGCCATTTGTTTATAAAATTTTTAATAACCTCAATGCCTCCAACCTTTAAGGGAGTTCTATTTGCAAGAAATGAATTACAGGGTTGGTGTTGGTGTGATGCTTTAGAAAGTCTCTTTATAAAGATTCAGTGTGGCCAGAAAAATGTCTATTTGCTCCAGTGAGATTTTTAGCTTGTTTGAAGCAATAGAATTCATTCTTCTGGGGGGATTATTATTTATTTTATTAATCCACAGTCAACACATAAGTACATAGTCCATAAGATATCAAAAACTAAAAACGAAAGTGCTAATAACATGAGCAGATAAATAGTAAGTCCATCCTTACGAAGGCTTTATTCTTAAGTCCTTCAAAATATTATTTGTCCAGGAAAAAATATCTGTGGCCTATCTCACCTTTACAGTGATTGGCCTCTTTTTCTATTCCTCCTTATATTACAAATGTAAGAAAAATGTAGCAATTTCAATGACTACTCATGCCAACCTATCAGCTGAGAGGATTCTAGGGGAATTATTAGCTGGTTACAGATGAGCATGTTTTAGTTTGTGCCCAGCTGATGCCCTCACAATGGACCAAGGGGTAAAAAATTGTAGTTATCTAGGCTGTTTTGCCTACTATTTGCCCAGTGACCCATCACTCTGATTTTTAACCTTTTAATTAATTATTGTGACTGTATAAACAAACCCTGTACAACACATGTTTTCTCTGAAAGAATTTCATTCTCTCAATTATTCAGGCAAGAAACTTAGGAGTCACCTGCCCCTTCTCACTCACTGTCCTCTTCCAACTGGACAAGTCTCTTTTCAAACAGCAGGAGAATCTGCCACCCCCTCTTTACTTCGGGGCCATGGCTGCATTCGCTGTGTCACAGGCTGTGGGCAGAGCATCCGCGCTGGTCTCCGAATTCCAGTTCCCATCCTACCCATCCCACTTCGAGTTATCTTCCTGAAATACAGATCTCACCATGTCACCCTCAGGCTTAGAAGCCTTTAATGAGTGGGTCCCCAGAAACGGAAAATCTGAATACCTGAGTGGACATTAATAGAATTTGGCAGTTTGTCCAGGGTCAGGGCCATCTCTCATAATATTGACACCACACACACACCAAGCTCCAAACAGGCTGAGGTACCTCCTTCCCTTACCTCTGCTTTTGCAAGTTCTGTGGTCTTGGTTGATGTCTCTAGTACCTTCTGTCATTTATCAGAACTATTTGTGTTATATTTGCTTGTGTCTCTCATGAAGGATTATCAATAGTCAAGTTCCTAGGCAGGAGCCTGGATGTTGCAAGCCTAGACCTTGCTTACCATACATTAGTTGAATTCAATCTATGTTTTCATAGATTTTTGTACTAAAACTACTGCTTTCCTATTAGTAGATAGTCTTGATCATGTTCACACTCTTAGGTTTGGTCTTGCTATTATATTTCACAGGAATTAATACTGTGGAGGTCTAGAAAGTGAGCTGAACAAACAAGAATGTGAAGGGATATCTGCTTATGATGTTATGGTGTCAAACTTCAACAGAGGTTTCCAGTTAGCGGAGCTTGAAAGGCAGAACACCTGGGGCCTGTCCGTAGACCCACTGCCTGAATCTCTCTGGTCCTGCCCTGACTTCCTGTATGCCTTTGGCACATAAAAAATAATACTGAGGCTCTTAGATTCTTTTTTAGTTAAATTTATAGGGGTGACATTGCTTAATAAAATTATCCAGGTTTCAAGTGTATAAGACTATAATACTTGTACCTC